CCCCCCCCCCCCCCCCCCCCCTCCCCCAGGATTTCGCCTTATCGTGATTTATTAGCATAGGTGTATGGGATTGCAATCCCCGTGCCCTCCTGCCCCCGGCCGGCTCTGGCGCTCCCTGGCGCTCCGGCTCTGGCACAGCACACCAGACAGGCTGCGAACCACGATATGCTGTCTACTGTACGGTTTTTATGGCGTTCTCCGCGAACTCTCGTGAGCAGAGAAAATAAGAAACTACCGATTGAAGAAATTCAGCAGGAGGATTTGGCGGCACGAAAATAAGCAACTTGGCTTGAAGAAATTGAACTACATACGCTGAGTTAATAGCCCACAAATAAGAATTCGGGCTGGACCTGAAAGAAGTGATTCTTAATTGCGGGCGCTAACTGTACGAGGTATTTTCAAAATCTTCCCTGTTACACGGTGCTTGCCTGAAATTGAGTCGCGATAAAAATAAAATCCAGCACGCACCGCAGGAGGAAGGTGGGGCATGAAAATAAAAAAAAGAAGAAAAAAGCCCTGGTGTTTACTCCCTCCTATGTGACCCTGGATGGTTGTAGTTGTACGAAAAAATGCACTGAAAAGTGTGGTACTCTACATACGCTGAAAAAAAGTGTATTACACGTCTCACCACGAAAAACGGGGGGACTGTCGCCATAATAAACAGGGCGAAAACACAGACACATACCCAGTGCTGCTGCGTCTACGACTGGCGGTTTCTTTCGCCGTCTTGCACACCCGATTTTCGGCCGTCCTCGAGACGGTCGGTTGATCAGAGTCCACATGGACATTGTCCTGTTTGTCGCCCATCTTCATCTTCTTTCTCTTGTCTCGCTTTGTAGTTGTAGAGGAGCACGAAGCCGAAAAGATTACCGTGCTCGGTCTTGTCGTCGCTCCGTCTCCAGGAGGATGCAGCGGCTGAAATGATGTCGCCTCTATTGGTTTTCCGCGCGACCCTTTCGTCAGACTCACACTCCCGAGCTGGGTGCTGCTGCTGCTGCGGCGGCGTTTCTTCCTTTTCGCCCCTCTCGGAAGTTCGTATGATGGGCCCGGGCCAGCTGCACCCGTTCGGTCAGTACTCGATTTCACTTGCAGCAGGTCTGGACGTGAGATCAATGACGACCGTCTTGGTCATCGGTGAAGCTCCATCCATTTTGCTGCATCCCAGTGTCACTCGCCCACCGCTCCGCTCGCGCCGCTCCTCCAAGACCTCTGCACTATCGCCCTGCGCCCTTTTCGTGTTTCCATCCGATGCCGCAGGTCGACCCAGGCTCGTGCAGTCCCCCGCTGTCTTGTTTCCGCTCCCACCCTCGACATCGCGCACCCTCTTCTTCGGATCGCTCGCGGCGGAGGACACCGGGTCGCTAGAGTGCGTCGCCTCATCAGCGCTCTTCGCCCTCTTGCGCTTCTCCGCCTTTGTCGACATGGGCGTACCCCGAATAGGGCGGTCGGACGAACCCCTCTCTCCGTCCGTACCTGTTGCTCCCAAAGCATCCAGCAGCTCCTTCACAACTCTCGATCTCTCGATGTCAACTCCATGGAGTTCCCCCGCCGTCGCAACCACGATCGGTCGGAGTCCGTGTCCGACAGCGTCGGTGATGCTCATTAGTGCGCTATCCAAAATATCACAACCTCGCCTTGCTCGTAGCCACAAACGGAAAGCCTTTGCCGCGATGATCATGTTCACATGTTTCGATGCCCCTAGTCCAAGCCTGAAGTCATCGCGCAGAGACCTGGCAGACGGGAGTACGCACAAGAGCATCAGCAGGGCAACGAGGTTTGCTCGTCAGACGGCGGTTGATTCTTTGCGTTATCCCCACCCAGGGGGGCGCCTGCATGGTCAAGACACTGCGGGTCTCTGCGGTTGTGACGGCAAAGAGGAAGGAAAATCGAAGCGTCCAGCCCATTTCCACGCAGAATGAACCCGCAACTACGAGCAGGACGCCCAACAAATCAGACTTCTGCCGGCCTGCATCAATCAGTTGCGGCCAACCCTGAGTGCAGCAATGTTGCTGGCGTTCACGGCGACTCCCCCGACCACCTTCATCTTCTTCGCATGTGCCAACTTCTCGCCGTTTACCCAGCAGGCCCCAAGTTACAGTTTCAGCCGCATGGTCTCGTCTCCGTTGGCATCCTTCGCATCGGAATAGATACCCCAGGGCAGCGAAACTTGTGTCGGCCACGTTTGTGAAGCGCCAAACCTCACCCGGTTAATGCTTTCGCTCCTTGCCCACAAGCGTCGCGTCCGGCAACTCATCGGTCGCGGTAGCTCGAACAGTCGAGACCTTCTGTTCTTTGTCCCTGCTCTTCTCTTTTTTGCTTCGTGCCGTGGCATTCCAAGAGTGAGGAGGTGGTGCATATGTCGTGCACGTAACAGGGGCAGTGGCAGGTAGAAGCTCTCCGATAATCACCGCGGGATCGTTCAAGAAGCGCTCAGTCAGAATGGCGAGGTCGTTCCTGTTTTCCACACGCAGACCACCGGCGACGAAAGAGGACTCCCGGACAAGCTGGTGCCCTTGAATTCTGATGTTGACGACGGTGTCGTCAAGGATGTCGGAACTGGGGTTCTTGTCAAACACGTAAAGGATTCGCGCAGCGACGCTTCTGTGGACGTGGTCTTGCGCGGGCCCGTACACCGGAATAGTTCCGCGCTTAGTGCCCTAGCGTGGATCGACAGAACAAGGACCGGAAAACGTGCCAACGAAACAAGCGGGGACACGAATGACAACAGGTCATGGGTGCTGTGAACCATTGATTGATGTCCCAGGATTCGTAAAAGTAGATGTCCCCCGCATGCCTTGCTAAGCTCCTCAGCGTGACGACATGCTGTTTGTGGGCGAGGATTCCTCGATTTGATGGTTCATTTGTCGAGTACATTGCCGCAGAAGTATGTATCGTCCAACAGGCCGGGTCGAAACAAGTCAATGTTTTGGCCCGGCACCAAGAGCGCAAAGCGCGGTGAACATCTATACCTTCTGCATGGAAATCGTCTATCATCGAGTTTAGACGACGGAATATCCACAATTTCCAGAAACTGTGGAAAAAACGTCACACTTGCGTGCAGCATCGGTGCCTGAACGAATACACACTGGTAGCTGAACGCTCCATTTCACGCAACAAGTTCATGAGCGGTCAGCATGTGCAAGCAAAGAACCGCATCATTGCAAAATCGATAGCACCGTAAACTTTGTCAGCAGTCACTCATGAGGGACTGGACCACCAACCTCACGCACGCACGCACGAGATTGTTTAAACGCCAGCAATCGATTGTTGGACACGCAAGGGCAAAGCGGCGGCGGGCACATGCGATGGACCACGTTTACTACACATGGCATCATATGGACATAAGATATATTGCACGACAGCAGTATCTCTCAATCAGACGGAATGGCATGTCGAACTGACCTTAAGGCAAGTGCCGTTTGCATGTTGATATGTTCGCACAGGTGCCGAACTGATACGTCGCGGCGGACGATGGTTCTGCCGTTGACCTGGCACGAGCCCTTCTTCAAAAGCGTTTCGAGCATGAGTGGTTGGTGGTTTTCCGACAAAACCTGCTCTCACGGCAGAAGAAGATGTGTGAAGGAAGCAGCCAAGAGGTGCCGTCATCACGTTGCAGTTCTCGGTCCCTTCACGCCAATGTCCGTCCTGTTTGGTTTAGTCATGCTAGAGCCCAGTAATTTCCTGGTCATGGCGGCGGTTTCGACACTGCTGCTGGAAGGCTCCAGAGGAGAGGGGGCAAGCTCTAGCACACCCGATGTCCCGCTCCCATTTTGCCGCAGGGATGTTACCAAGAGGTTGAGCCCGCTCGTTCTGTAAACTTGCTGAAGCTCCCCAGCTTGGAGGCTTGATCCGTTCACATATGCATGTCATTTGAAGCTCACAGCAACCTCGTCCGTGTCGAGGATACCGAAATCAGGGTGTTCTAGGTCAAACATCTGCATGATGGAGGCGGCAAAGATCTTGTGGACCGTCGCCTGTGCAGGTCCAGACATCGGCATCAGCGTCTCTCGTAAGGCTCTGAGTTGTTGGCAAACAAGACAGCCGATATTCCAGACCACAGCAGTTGGGGCGATTAGAGGATGCACGGAAGTGAACCCACGCATGGTACTGTGGACCCATCATTGAATGCGCCGTTGATGTATCTTGAACGCATGCACGAAATCGGCCATCAACTATTTATGTGTTCCTTTCCGCCCAACGCGTAATTCGCTAGAGTAGGAGGAGGATCACGCGTCATCTACAGCAATACCGTAATACTTGTGGAATAGTGGGATAGTGGGCAGTGGATGCAGTACATACACAGCCACTATAGCTGCTACAAGCAAGACCCCCGGCGGGTCGGTCTCATGGATAGCATGGCTCGCGACGACCACATCGCTCTCGAACACGCAAACAACAACCGAACAAATATGCACCTCTATGTACATACATGGAACGGAACAGAGACCACGCGGTCAAATTTGCTGAATAGTCTAGTCTAGTCTACAAACATGCGGTTCATTCGCAAGCAACATGTTCCGCTCTTACGTTGACTCCAAGCACATCTAGGAGGGCACTGATCTGTATTCACCTGGCGACCAATAAGGTCTCTATGGTAGACTTGGACTCCTGATAGGCAATTCTCACGGTTTTTGACACCCTCTTTCCGTTCACTTCGCCCCATCCGAGCTGGACTTTCATGCCGATGAACTACTGTTGTAGTTGTCCCGCTTCTGCAGAGATACAAATGGCGGCACCAGGTACGGCTTGCCATCAATCTGCACGGTTTTACTGTGGTGACTACCAGTTCTATTCATGTCCGAGCCTTTACAGTCCTGCACCAACCTTACTTCCTTTAATGCTTGCCCCCCCCTAAGGAAATAAATGTACGACGGGTGAACGTTTGCGGCCCAACAGCCAAGCAGCCTGTTGCTGGATTACACGGAACCACCAGTACGCTTGTCCTCACTTACGGAGCCCCCCTTGCGGGCAGACTCAGAAGGAGTCTTCACGAGCAAAAAAGGGCCGGGTGGTAAAGGGCCCTCAGCAGCCTTACTGGAATCGCAGAACAAGACTGGATAGTGTAGCTATCTGGCTAGGGCAGGGGCAACAGCGATCCACACACGCACCAGAACCGGCACTATGGGAGGCGAGCACCTAGTTCTCGACCCGGCCATCCGGGACTGGGTCGTATTTCCGCTGATGCTCATGGTGATCCTGGTGGGAGTTCTGCGACACAACATCACGGCTCTTCTCAAGGCGGACAAGCCTCTGGACAAGGAAGAGCTCAGCTACAAGTGAGTTAGTACCTTCCGGCAAGAAGCCCCGAAGTACGGGTACGAGCATTTGTGGACTGCAATATTTCGCGCTGGGTCGTAGCTGCAGTTTCGTTCTTCCTTTGAATTGCTGCTCGAATCCCAGATGCCCTGCCCCGTCCTCGTTTTGCTAACAGAGTATCGATATCGTTAGCACAGCAATGGTTCTGCCCGCCCTGATGTACTGTCGCGCCCGCACGCACGTCCAGGGCTACAATTTATCCATAACCCGTGGCTTATAGTTCAACAGAGAGCTATATCGGCGAGAATCAACAGCAACGTTTGCCTCCTCACTCGTACGCGCTAGCTCCCCCGCTACTGCTGTAGGTGTGCATAGACTGCTTGAGTTGCGGTTCAACGTTTCAGCCGCAAACACGCCAACTCGTCGGCGGTTAGATACTTGTTTTTCTCTTGAGGTCCACCTTGAGAACCCGTCCACCTGGCACAGAGTACAGTAGCTATCCAACTGATGGTGTGGTGCACGCAGTCATACCCAGAGGGACTAAAACAGCTTGTGCCCCTCTACGACGAAGAAAAGACCACGAGCTTGACAGCCCCACCCAAACACCTAGCCCAAGGTCTCGACACGATGCTGGGCCGCCTTCTTGGCTGGAAGGCTTTTTTCGATGTCCTACGTGTATCGGTCGCGGGGGATTGGTGGCCCGGAAAATGCTCTCGCTTCGGTAACGCCTTGCGCGCACCCGACAACGCCATCACTGCGCTCAACGTGAGCCCAAGCCCACATTTTTGTTGCGGGGATGCCGTCCTTCTGTCGCAGACAAACCCTGACGAGGGCGAAGCGGCTGAGGGGCAACGGGCGTTTTATCTGCCGGGAGGCTTTCTCGCGGCGAAAGGGCTACTTCACGGCGAAGGAAGGGGGGCTGCTGCGGCAGGAGGACCTCCCGGGACAGGCCAACCCCATGGCAAACCCCGACAAAATGATGGGGCCCATGAAGAGCCAGGTGCGATCACTGCCTCTACGATCAGCTCTTGATAGCCTTTGCTTGGCTTGTTCTCGGCAACGTTTTGGCTTGTGGTGGTGCTGCTGCAGTGGACTGCCTTCCCCTTAGCCTCATTTTGAGAGCAGAATCCTCACCGGTCAGTTGCGTCCTCATTACATGGCGTGATCGGTCATGTGCCGCGTCCCTGAATGACCCGTTACGAAATGGTGAACAGCCAACGAAGGAACTACAGCAGCTGATAGATGGAACGATAACGGTTTCTACGGCACAGTGCTCGCTTGACATTGTAGCAGCGGCGGTAGCTTGGGCACAACGTCCGGTGGGGTCCCTAAATTACAAGTAGTAGGTTTGCATCGTTACCGTCTGTCGGAAGACGTTCCCAGCCTTGCGGCCCTGGTTCAGGAAGTTTCATTTTAAATGCCACTACATTCATAAGTTTTATCCAAGGGCCCGCTCGCCCCATCCTCCCCGCGGTCCGCACACCATTCATAGTAGATTTGCCGCTGCTAGTTTGTTGAGGCGCACCCCTTATTTCACCACCACGTTTCCGGCCACATTCCGTGCTTCGTTGCCATCGACGGCCCGGCGTCATTCTGAGTACTTTCTGTGTGCTTGTCGACTGACAAATAGACACCAACACATGTTGCCTGTGCGTTTCCTCTCATGTCCCTTCTTAGCTGCTCTTTGGTTGCTGTGCCTCTGGGTGTGCATCTTGACAATGTCGTCGTTTACAACATCCTTGCGGCGTTTTTCTTGCGGATGCCGTGAGCAGATGGGGTTCGTGGGCACGAACATGTTCATGATGGCGTTCACCTCGTACTTCTTCGAGGGATTCGTGCTCGTCAGAGTTCCGTTCCCCCTAACCAACCGTTTCAAGGTATTGTTTTTTACTCTGGGCTGTTTTGTGCGAGCTTGGGAGTGTTTTGGTTGTCAGCTGCCCGCCCACAGCTCCGTGTGTCTCTGATTTGGCCCGGCGGGCTCGCAAGAACTGCGTGCTCGGTGTCTATTGCTTCAAGGGACGTTTGGATGGGTTGCGCCTGGGGTTTTGGGAGTCAGTTTGGTTGTTATTTTGTGTTGGCTTTCGTGTGCGTGGTCAGGACTTGACCACGCCCTCCCTCATCGTAGTCTCCAGGGTCTGCCGAGGGGGTTGTTCGAGCTGCCCCCCGCTCACCATCCGCTTTTACTGAGTTATCTTGGTTTGTGTTCTCTCTAGGCATAGATCGGCATATGCTCGAGCGCTTTTTTCGAGCACTGTGTGTCTTTTGGCTTGACAGTGATCGGACGCTGTCGCACAAACGCGGGGCAGAAGTCGAGAGCATAGATTAATGGGAAGTCTGGACCCTTGTCATAAGGGCATGGATCCGATACAGTAGTCAACAATACCAGCCTAGTCTCTGCCAGGGCACATAAGTCTAGGGTATTTGCTCCAGTCGTGGCCACCGCTGCTTGTCCTGTGTGCTGGCTGTATTCCGCGTCTGTCAGGTGATGCTTCAGAGAGGGGTGCAGCTGAGCACGCTGGACGCTAGCTACGTGTCGTCGACATCGTGGTACTTCCTGGTGATGTTTGGCCTTAAGTCTGTCATCAACCTGTTCCTTCGGGAGACCCCTGTTCAGCGCGAGGTGAGACCTACTGTAGCTCAACACGGCGCCTTGTTCTTCTGAAAGATATGTCCGTGAGGCTCAAGAAGTCTCGTAAACGACCATCGGCCTTACCCAAATCAGGATGTGGATTTGATGACTATATGTACGGCAGGAAATTGAAATGGTGGTGCAATGGCGGTTATTTGTTGGCGATGACACCGCAGTGAGTGGGAACTTGCTTGGCTGCATCGTGATCAACAAGAGGTCACTTCACTTTCGATGGCACAGCGCCACAGAAGTATCGCAGAGTGTTACGTGTCGTTTTCGGCGTTGAGGCGGGGCAGACATTGGCGCTTACTGGCTGGTTTGGACTCTCCTTGTTGTCATCCCATCTTAGTCCGGACATCGGTCCTTGCTTTCACCTTTCCGTTCACTTCTGGACTCGCCACCACAGCCGGGGTCGCAGAGGAAGAAACCCATGCAGGAGTTTTGTCTCCGCCTTCCTTCTGCGGCGCATGCGTTTTTTCTCTTTGTAGTCTGCGTCAATGTGGCATGTCGATCCTTATCCTGGTGTCTCGCCGGTGGCAAGGATACGAAGCGATCATCCATCCATGTTGCCGGGACCCCTGTTCATGACGAGGGTATCGTCAAAGATTGCTCTCGTCTTTAACTTGGCGAGCTTGTTGGTGATGGCGTCTCGTTAAGTAGCTTGACGAGTGCGTGCCAGCGCGATGGACAGCGTGTTCTTGGTAGCACTTTTTGACAATCGCCGAACCGTGGGCGCCTCTTATGTCTCCTGCTTTCCGCTCTTTCGGGGGCTTTGTCGTCCTCATGTCCTCATCTTGCTCCACAGGCGAAAGTTATCCAGTCTCAGCTGGGGGTGGGCGCGGCGTCCATGGGTTTCGACGTCAAGAAAGTCTATGCCTCGGAGGTAAGTTTGAAGGACTTGATACGCTTCGTCCTATGGAGCTATGGAATTTGACTGCCACAACGGAAAGTGTTGGTATTGTTCTGGTCTTAGCATAAAAACCGTTCTGGTCCCCGGCGACTCCCTTCTGATATTCGTACTCGTCCAACTGGCTCGGACTCCTTCCGTGGTCACTACAATACAATAGCCACCTACCCAAAGAGGTGCTTGCTTTTTTCAACACACAATGTGAAGAAGTAGGTTTGAAGCCTAGCCATGCCAATCGCTGAGGTGTTGAAAAATATGTGGCTCCTTCGTGCGTTAATCTGAAATGTACACAAGAGTCGCGAAAGGTTTACTTATCATACGTGAAGGCAAGGCCATACCTTGCGTGATTGTCGCTCTATCTGCACCAACTCTATGCGAGAAACACAGTATCCAAAATACGGCATGCAAGTATTTTATCTTGGAAGTCGAATGATTGTACGATCGGATGCACTCCCCGCGCCTGTTTTTAGGTACTAGACTTGTCTCTGTCAGTAATCCGTACGGCCGTGTGCCCGGCTGCCTCATTAGACATATTGTACCACGTATCGTATGTGACGTGTACGCCGCACGTTGCGCACACGTTGGAACGTTTTTCGATCAAACTCCCAACGTCGAGTATTGTGGCGGAAGGTTCACTCACTTATGTCCACAGCATTTCGTTGTGAAACGGGCATTATTATTTTTATGGCAAGTATGTAACGCCGAACACATTTTTCTTTCCATCCGCGGTTTGCGATGCACGTAGTTATTATCGTCCACTTCTTGGTGTCGTCGACCTCCTCTGCGTCGAACGGGTGCTTTTTTTTTTCGTTTGTTTGGTTCACCCTCTCGTCTCTTGTTCGTGTTTTCGTCGGTGTTTGTCTGCCACCAAAAACACATGGCATGCGCATGCAAAAAAAAAATGCTCTTCTCTGGCGCAAAGGCGGACAGCTTGGATCTGGCTCCGCACGAGTGGTTGTTAAACGACGTGGAAAAAAGACTTCTGGGAAGCAAGGTGACCACGGATCGCCTGCCGTTAACAATATGTCTCTCGCTGCTCGTTGTTGATGCACCTGTCTGCCGAGAATCGTTCATGGCGCTTATGTAGGTGAATTATCTGCACTGAAGTTGAGCATGTCCTTGGACGTTATTTGGGTCGGTTAACGATGGAATGTGCTGAGTTCGCCCAATTCATACTTGAGCGCGCAAGCACTGGTGGAGAAGTTGGGAATTATGTGCTGAGTGCACCAGGCACCTTCCTGATAGTGCACTTGTATATACATTCCGCCAAACAGAAGTTGACATGGCTGAGTGCATGCGAGGGCGGCGGTTTGTGAAGCAAGTCTCCGAACGTGGTGCGGTGCTTTCCGTCCCCCTAGATATGAGGATGGCACGTGTCGAGGAAAGGAGGAAGAGGTAGAACACGGAATCGAAACGAAAGAGTACCTGTATTGGATGTATGTTGTCCTAGCTTCGTCCCTCGCTCCGAACGCGTCCTGTCAACCAATGTTGTCTTCGTACGTCCAGTCAACTTTATGTGATCGCCATACGTCCACTCAACCATTGTTTCTTCCACACGCGCAGTCAAGCGTTGTGGTCGCTATTCGTCAAGTCAACCGTCTCTATCTTCGTTCTTTCACTTGGGCTGCCCTTCCAGTACCTTATCTACCATACCGATATTCTCAGCAAATATCCTAGTTACTCGAAAGTAACCCTTTTGTCACCAGCTGATCGATACAACCCGATCTTAGATGAACGTGTGTGGTCTACGGTACGTATGCGTTCAGGACACAGCTTTTATGATATGATGACTGACAACGCGCGCGTTCCTCGCCCCTGCATCCGCTTGCTCTGTTTGCACGGCCTTTGTCCTTCCCGTCCTTCGTTTATGTCTTGCTTGTGGTCGACGCACCTATCCACAAACAGTACCCCTCGACATCGGTGTACGACTTGGCGGGGATGCACGATGACAGCTCTGCAATGTTTGGGGCGAACGGCGGAGGGCGGGCCGCGCAGAAGACTCCCAAGGGCAGCGGCGGAAAGAAGCGACCCAGCGGAAAACGAAGCGACTAACGAGAGTCGGTTCATTGCTGTCTGTGTTGTGCCTAGTGTGCTGTCAAAACCGTCGTGTTTTCTTTTGTTCGGTTCTGATGGCCATGTGCCAAGGAGTGGTGAAAGGTGGGGTCATCTGATTGGCTGACCGGAGAGAAAGAGAGTTGAGCAGCAGAGACAATGTCCGAGATATTCTTTATTCTTGAGAGGAACCACCGCTTGAGGAATTTTGCCGCGTCAAGTATTTTGCATGTCAAATACGTGTGGATATCCCAGTCAATCGTTGTCCAACATCCCGGCCTCTCCCGCATGTCTGAGATTCTTAAGGGTACGCACGGTGTGCTGCTTGCTGTGGGTGCACACCACACCTGGGTCCTTCTTTCCTTCCTCCCTTAGTTCTCTGAGGACGCCATTCTTGGCCGCATGCCAGCCTTGACCGATGCTGTCAACTCACACGCACCAGCGGCATCAGAACCAGCACACCCAGTCTGATTTCTGATCCAAGGTTGGACTTTTTTTGTCACGGGCACCTTCACACTCTCGCACCTAGGGCTGCCTTGCTGGCTTCTCCCAGTGCACGACGTACTGGTCTTGTCTTCGTAATGACTTGGCGAAGGGCGATGCTGCGAGGTACCTGGTACGTGTCTGGTGTGATTTCGACATTGCACGGGTGGAAATCAGCTCGACACAAGTTGCACATGCGGCAGCACACGCCGCAATGCTTACCTGTTCGATCTGTGTGGTCGTTGATTCTGTTGGGGGGGTCGGGGTGTAAAGGATGGCGGTGGTGGACACTCCCAGGTCCATCCGGTGAGTTGGATTACAATTTCAACTTTCTGATTTACTGCGTTGTATGCTCGCAGTCAACGACACCGCCAACGGAATCACAAAAGATCCAAGGCAACAAATACCATGCGGACGAGCTAACGCCGCTTTGACGACACGCGAGAGCTTCTCTAAGAGAAGATAAAGGGTTGTTTGGGTTGCCCGTTTCAGCCAAAGCACGAATCACGCAACGCCGACTGAATTCTCCTCAATCCGTCAGCCCTTGCAAAAACGGACAAGAAAACGAAGAGAAAACGACCCCTACACCCAATGTTGAGCTGTCCCACCCCGTACGAACAGCCGCAAATTAACACATCCACAAACACCAAAGAGTGGTTCGGTATTCAAAACCCTACCCTATGCATACGAACTCAAGCTTCACACAACAAGATGGGCATGTACCAACTGGCAAGCAGAACATTCAGGCACTCGAAAGTTACACGCCTTTCTGCAAAATACAGACCTGTCAACCCTATCTTGCTACACTAATCCGGCCCCCATGTTACCCGGGCAGGCCGCAAAATCTGCAACATTTCCCGAAAAACTAAAACAACTGTCAAGACGTAGGATACCGCCGATTGATTGCGTTTGTTTGGAGTCAGCACCAATCCCCACAAACGACGAGTTAGTCACCGCTTTAAAGCCAAGTGACAGAGCGAAGGGGGGGGGAGGGGGAGCGACGTGAATGAAAACAGTACCCACATTTTCTCCCAAAGTCGCCGCCCCCCCCTTTATCCAGCGAGTACTCTCCCACATTTCCATTCTCGTTGTGGCGCCAACACCCAACGTACCGTGTCTCACGCATCCGCGTTGACTTCGACGAGCGAGAACAAAACGCTTAGAACGCGATGCCGCTGGAGTGCACAAAGAGGTCGCTCATTCTCATTCAATCATGTCCCAACGACAGCAGTAGACCAGTAATGCTAGGTCGGTGGTGAGACCTCTTCAATCCATAGATGCAATGCATACACGCAGCTTTCTCGCACACAAGGCCAGGCAACAGCAGTAGTAGCAAAAGCAGCAGTTCGAAACCAATCCCCGACAAAAAAAACAGAGGAAAACGTTGCCCTCCGCGACAAGCCGCAACCAACCGTCGCCAGCAGCAGCCCTGCACCACTTCGGATCCCTCCGCCTACGCCGGTGGCGCGCCCGACATTGCGGGCATATCCGCTGCTGCGGGAGGGGCCGCTGCAGGCTCCGCCACCGGCGCCGCCGCCGGAGCAACGGCGGCGAGCGGAGTAGCAGCAACAGCCGGCAGCGCAGCAGTAGTCGGTGGAGAAGCAGCAGTCAACGGAACAGCAGCAGCCGGCGGTGCAGCAACAGCCGGCGGTGCAGCAATAGTCGGCATAGCAGCAGCAGCTGGGGGCGCAACAGCAGGCAGTGGAGGAGCTGCAGCCGGCGGAGCAACAGCAACCGGTGCAGCAACAGCAACTGGCGGAGCAGCAGCAGCCGGCGGAGCAACAGCAACCGGTAGCTGCTGTTGCTCGACCGGTGGAGCAGCAGCCACGGGTGGAGCAGCAGTCACAAGTGGAGCAGCAGCCACGGGTGGAGCAGCAGCCACGGGTGGAGCAGCAGCGACCGGTGGAGCAACGGCAGCCGGAGGGACAACAGAGACCGGTGGAGCAACAGCGGCCGGCGGGGCAACAGCAGCTGGCGCAGCAGCGGCGGTAGCAGCGGCAGCAGCAGCAGCTACATCCTGCCCCATGGTAGCATCCTGCCCCATGGTAGGGTCCGGGGCGGCGGGTGCCGCTTCTACAGTCTGCGGAGCCCCTACCTGCTGCAACTCTGGTGCTACGGGCGCTGCTACAGGTGCCGCTACAGGTGCCGCGGGTGGCATTGCCCCCGTGGCCGGAGGCATGGCCACCGGCGACTGTTCCGTTGCCATCGGCGTGGGCACGACGGGCGCAACAGCGGGTGCAGGAGCAGCTGCCCCGCCACCAGGTCAAGTGTTCGAAAGAGGGCGACGGTCACGAACGCACAAGGGGAAATCAACGAAGATCGTCAGTGTCGACCGAGCTCAGTGCGCGTTTTTCCATGGAAACAGTCGGCCTGAGACGTGACTTGTCACTCCTCAGCGTACCAAGAACAGGTCGACAACCCTACGCACAAGTAGGGGTCCTCTGTTCTCGAACGGAAACGCCACGTTCTCACTGCGGAAACCCCGAGCCTGAAATATCTCACCTAGTGTTGCTGGACCTGCCTCGGGGGCTGGCGCAAAGCCCTGCACGGTGGGCATCGCGGCTGTGGCTGCTGCCGCTGCTGCTGCTGCTGCGGCGGCCGCGGTGGTGGCAGCGGTGGCGGCAGCGGTGGTAAAGGGCGGGGGGAGCATGGTACTGTGCAGCGTGGGGATGCCGGCGGGCATGGGAGCAGCCATGAAGCCGGCTGGCATCGTCAGGGATGATGCCGGCGCCGCCGCCACGGTCGACGCCGGTGCCATGGGGGGGTACGCGGACATCGCCGGGAGAGAAGCAGGGGGTACGTCCATGCCGCCTTCCCTCTGGCGCTTGGCTGCCGGCGAGTAGGTGGCGTTGGATCCTCCCTCTCGCGCAGCGCCGATGGAGGGGTCTTCCATCTCGATGCCAGCCCTGTCCTCCCAGATGCGCACCTGTTTTTTTTTTGTTTTTGGTTGAGGGTGTTGCACGGCAGCGGTGAAAAAGGCGCACCTTGATTCCCGGACGCCGATGTGCGTTGCGCCTTGACACGCTGCTGTGCTACCGAGAGGATATGGTCGAGAGAGGAATAAACCAGGAAAATAGGAGCCACATTCTACAAGATCAGAACGCCATACCAACCACGACCCTTGTGAAGACATCCCATGTATCCCATGTAGAGACCAACAGTAGTGCTCCCTTGCGAAGCAACGAGTCGTGAGTTCGACTGCAATAGCGGCAGGCTCCTGAGGGGGCCGTACCATACACTTTTGGTGCGACAGGGCTAAACAGCAGGAGCGGGAACATGGCCAGGAGAGCGTTGTCGTCGTGTAGTCCGCGTCAACGAGTTCAGGTGTCCACGAGCCGCCCGCCGACCTCAAGGGGCGGCGATACGAAGTGGTGTTGAACAAAAAACTATACACTGAGGTAAAAGGTGCCGTGTGCCGGTGTGTGCCTCACCGACTTGTCCTTGGTCATCCCGCCGGAGGCCAGTAGCTTGTCCGCCATCAGCTTACCCTTCGCGACGGTCAAAACCGCATCTGCCGAACACGAACCCAAGATCCGAGCGGTATGCAACCGGCCGAGGGTATGGCATTATACGAATGGTGCAGACATGGTGAAGAGAGAGAGGGAGAGACGTGAGAGAGACATGGACGGCGAAACAGCCTGCGGCGACTCCACACACGCTCGGGGCACCGCGAACAGCACGAGCTGAGCGGGTGTGTGAGGGATTGGTGAGTGAGTGGTTCCGTGAGTGCGTGAGAGGGTAAGTGAGTGAGGCCCAAAGCTTGACTCGTGACATGCTCTCCTTGATGCGACTACCTGCAGGTAAACAGAAAATTACGCGTCGACCGCAGGTCGGATCGTACGTGGCAGCCAGAGAGATGAAAGTGATTAAATACCGGCGCCTTCATCGAGGTTCTACTTCGTGCCTGCAGCTCATCTGAGCAAATGTTTTCCTATCGGTTTTCAGTCTTCGGACTCGGACAAGACCATTACCAACCTGGTCACCTTGTGAGTTGCATCCATCTGTGCATACGTTGTGAGCGCAGGTACGAGGATATGTCTTGCCGGTAAGACAGCGTGCAGTTCTTCAGACTAAAGAATCTGGGATGTTTTTGTTGTTGTACACCCGCGGTCCCTTCCCGTCTTATGACCCCTGGACCAACCGCACCACCCAAAATCGTGAAAGTTGTCAATATCGTCTCTAGAAGCATGATTAGGTCATTGAATTCGTCGCCACAGTCGTAACCCGAGTCGTTTACCGGTTAAAGCATCACACGCGGCGCGTGAAGCAAGCCTCGTGTATGTACACATCATTTCGCAACCAAACCACTTACAAACCAGTCATCATGAGACACGGTCACCCCGGTGGTCTAGTGGGTAGCCTCGCAGCCTGCCAAGGGCCAGGTCATCGGTTGGAATCCCGACAGAGTGAGTTTTTTCTCGCTTATCAAATCCTGGTCTCCGTTGGAAGCGACGCGCTGCAAAGCTCGTTGTTAGTAAACTTGATCGACTTCGTAAGTCGCGAGGGAAGGGATTGCTGTACCCTTCTCGCGATAAAAATATCTCAGGCAGGAACCGCAGGAGGGGGTCCAACCCCCCCCTCCTATGTGACCCCGGTTGGGTCGTCCAGCTGGTAGAGGTGGAGGATAGGGGCCAGAGGGGCAGACGACAGAGTCCAATGATGGGAGAAAAAAAAAAAAACGTCAGCGGCTGACCGGTCTCGAATGGTTTCGGTTTTGGTTTTTCGAAGAACCTCACCGCTGTGCCCCTGCAGCCTCTGCACCACCGACTTGCTGCTGTTGATGTCCCAGATGTAGATGCTCCCGTCCTCGGATCCGCTGACGACGCGCTTGTTACCGTCGAAGCAAGCCGTCACCGAGTAACGCCGATTTACGTGTCCCCTGCCGGCGTTCCGCGAGCAAAAAACAAAACACGGCGGTTTATCCCAGGGAGGGCGGCGGAACATTGCAAGAGAGGGAAAGAGAAGTTGGTTGCGTGTATGTGTCAGCGGGTGGCGGAGGCCGGAGGAAAAACGGGCAAAGAATGCGAAATCGATCAAACAACAGAAAGCACAAGAGGCAAACAATCGAGAGGGGGGGAAAAACGCGTGGGTGGGGAATCAGAGAACAGAGAACGCCAAGTAATACGGTGGGGGGGGCGGGACAGACGTAACCCATGGGAATCCCGGCAGTCAGGGTCTCTCCTTTATTGCTCTGTTGCGCTCCCATCCGTTCCTACCGCAAACTGACTCACTTGTAGGTCTTGACGCATTTGGTGTCGTGACCGATTTGCCACAGCCTGAGGGAGTCGTCCAACGTGCCGGCCAGTACGTACTTACCGTTGGGGGAGAAGGTAGAGAACGACCTGCACAATTGTTTTTTAGGTCATGTTGTCGTGATATCATGAGAAAGAGAGCCGACAGCCAAAGGGAAATGGAGGACGGTAGTTGTGCGAGGTGAGAGAGAGCGAGGAGGGGGCGAGAAGGTAGAGGGGAGAGAGACAAAGGAGGGTGCCAACTTTCACAGTGTGCTTCGACGACGAGGAAGTAAATTGGAATGACACCGAACCTTCAAATGTGACCATGTAACGAAAAAATGATGACGTCATGACGGCACACTGCTGCGTGCAGAGGCAAAAGACCACAACCGCTTCTTTCTCTCCGGCGACATCAAGAAAGCGGTTGCTGACGCACGCTAAGACCGTCCACGAATACCCTTCCCTTGTCTGCCGAAGCACGTGTGACGACAGTGACTCACACAGACGGGTTGCCCTCGGCGAAGATAGTCTTGAGACATGCCCCGGTGCTGCTATCCCACAGACGGCTGACGCGACAAGGACAAACGACACAAACGAGTATCAACAGAACCGAAGCACATGGATGAACACTTCGGCGAGGGCGGCAAAGGGAGGAAGACAGAGGTACTGCGCAATTTCACCCACCGGGAGGGTGCCTTAACGGTACCACACCAAGAGATCGACATCGCCGCAGTAGCCCAGACCGGTTAGGGGGTAAGCGCTCACAACACTGCCCTCCCCTCAGCCCTCACCAGTGCGGCTAGCACAGAAACCAGCGTCTTCATTGCTGATAACAACACCGGAGGGGAAGTAGAGTAGAATACCCGTCTACAAGAAGAAGCGAGAGAGAGCATCTCGACACGTGGCCCTGCTCACCACCGTACACCAAAAACACTTGGGCGCACACGTGAGGTATTGGGGAGAGAGTAGCAACCAAATCAGCTCACACAGGAGACAACGACTACTGTAGAGAGCAGCAACCAACATCATCTGGTATCTACTTGGTACGCGGCAGAAGCATGAGGGACGCAAGCGTACAGTAAACCGATCGGGAAAACGTCCAGTTTGGCGCACCCACACAAGAAGGGGGGACGTTTCTTGAAACTCTGCGCGCACTTAACTCAATTTAATTGCAATTTACAATATTTGGTTTTGGAGGGGACACTCGTGTGGGTGTTTTTCTTTTCTCGTTCAGCTCTGATAATGCCTATGCTTACCAAGAACACATTTGACTTGGTAGTGTCTGTTGCAGGGGAGGACGCATGAAAGGAGCTTACATGAGGCCATCCGCGCTTCCCGATACCACTCCGGTGCCGTCTGCGTTGAAGGCGGCGGCCGTAACGGGCTCCGAGTGTGACGCCATCGTGCGAAGGCACTTGCCCGTTGCCACGTCCCAGATCTTCACCTTCTCGTCGAAGGACCCGCTCACCTACAGTACGTACGTCCGGCAATCATACGAGGCGCCACGAAACGGATACGTATCATCAGCGCGGCTCTACGTGGCACGCATCACAGCACCCTTGCGTCCGTCGAATCGTGTTGCTCCACGGCGCGAGAGACACACGTACATCCCATCCCATCCCATCGAATCGCACCAAGAGCAGCCGAAATCATGAAACTAAGCTTGGACCAGACACCAAACTTAGCATATCGTACACTAGAGGTAGAAAGTCCCGCGAGCCACCACGCGGATTGTTTTCAGGTCCTCGTCAACGAAAACCATCCAACTAAGATGAACAACCCCGGTTCTTAAACTCCGACCGTTCTCCTAGCACTCACCAGCAGGTTTGCCTGAGGATTGTTGAAGTTAACGCAGAAGACATAGTTCTCGTGGCCTTCCATGCTCTGGACTTCTTGCCCCTGAAGTACATCGAAGGGACCGTCGATGGGCCGCAAAACAAGGTTTCCGTTGCCAAGAATCGCACAAAACACGCCGACAACACCGCGGCAAAGGCGAGAGTGGGAGTGGGAGGCCGGGGAGGGGATGTCGAAGATGAACATCACAAAACACGCGGTGCAACAAATGCACTATTTTGCTGCAGCACTGCAGCGCAAAGCGAGCGACAAAACGGAGGATGGAACAGGACGGTACTCAACACAATATCAGAAGGATTCATGACGCTCCACAAGCAGAGTAGCAGCGCCATGACTATCAACAACAACAACCACAGCAGCACCCCGGCATTGCATTGCAGGAATGCAGCTCACAAAGCAACCACTTGACAAGGGAGGTGAACAGGCATGGGTGCACTCACGCACCACGCCATTTATCCCGGTGTGAGTCAAGCACAGTAGAGCAGGACCAGAATAATTTGGAAATCCGTAGGCATTTCGTGTAAAATACATAAATACCATGTTTCATTGCGAAAAAAAAACAGCATGTTGCTAGCGCACTACATTTTCTTCCATCAACCCCCATCATAATTGAAGTGGCCAACCTCATCAAAGGTTTCCAGCATCTTGTTGAGCTTTGTCACGAACAAGTGGTATATCCTCGCAACCCTCTATCGTTCGGGACAAAGGTCTGAATCGCGCCAAAGTCACAGCTTTCTGTCTCACATTTCACCCGAAGAGTACGCGCTCAACGAGAAGCTATAGGATTTCAGCGAGGGAAAGGAACGGCTCTCCTTGGCCAGTCGGGTCGACCAGTCAGTGCTAATTCCAGAAACTCGTACTATCTACAGTGGGATGCCCAGAGCTGGCATATGCCCAGGCATTTGGCCAGCACAATACTGGGCAACAGCACCGATCAACCGGCACAAAAACAGAGCCCCCTCCATTGTAATCTGATGCTATCCGTGCGCTCACACCATCTATTTCTCAGATAATATCCTTCCGTACCGTCTCCACGTCAAATATCTTGATGAGCTTGTCATCAGAGGCCGTGGCGATCTTTCGACTGTTTTCCGTCCATGCGAGGTCCGACAGCCCCTAGATCAACCACACAGTGATGTGGTGCGATAAGGATAATATAGGGCACCAACGGACGAGAGAGGGGCAGGGGGGTAAGAAGCGGGGAGAGGGGGGACGGAGCAAGTCCCAACACACGACAGTGTGGACTTGTCAGTATGAAAGAGAGCAGTGCCGTGCTTTCCGCAGCGGAAAGGTGGTGGACGGCAATTTTCAGTCGCTCAAAATAGGCAACTTTTCGGCACAGGCCGCGTTGCGGCAAAGCTTGAGACCGCATCAAGTGGTAGCTTTTCGGTGCAGTGCAGCAGAATGTTGTGGCTGTCTCATGGTGGGTGAAGGTCAGGCAGAATGCAAGTGTTTAACAATAGCTAAGAGTGGTACTCCGCACCAAGACTCCGCCACTTGGTTCCGATTTCGAAAGCAGGGGCCTCACTCAATCGTAACCAAGTGTTTGTGCTTGGCCCGGCTCTCATGGGATCGAGTGGCCACAGCACCTCCCCTTGTCCCGTTACACACCGCTTCTTGTACTACTCTCCCGAGTATGCACAAACATCGAACCGCCGTAAGGTTCACGCCAACACTAACCTGGACGTGGCCGGTGAGCGTGTTGATGAGCTTGCCGTTACCAGTCTCCCAGATCTGGACGGTTTTATCGGCGGCTGTGGCGCCAGAGAAGGTGCCACACAACGTACGAGTGACAGCAGGAAGAAATTTATTCAGACCCAGGACAAGCCAACCATCATGTTGCTTCCTCTTCGATCACAAAAAGAAAAGCACAACGATGTGATGCAAGCACGAAGACGAGCATGGAGAACGCCGAAAAATCAGGCGGGTGCGGAGGAGAGCATTACCGGTGCGGGCATGCATGAGCTTCCTTGTGAAAATTTCCGAACTGCTGTAGAAACATCAACTGCTTCATGACTTGGGCTGGCATGTGTACTTAAAACGCGCTATAATTCAACGGATTCCGCGTTCACGGGTGTTAGCTTTGTGCAACACTTGACATCACAACTACGATTCAAGACAGGGTATTCGACAACTCAAACAATGTTTGGGAGCCCCCGCCATGTTGCCTGTGTAGTCTTGAAATTACCCTTACTTGTGGACACATTCGTCTTGGTGTGAGAGAAGGCGTGTGGAGGCAGAAAACATGACTTGCTGGTGAAGACGAGCCGCATCCGCTGCTCTGCTCTGGGCGACAACGAACGAATCTACGTGTCCCCGACGGGTCTTTTCTACTTGTTGTTTGACGTGTGTAATAACTGGGTGATCGTTCGGTCGTGTTCAAAATCGTCACTTTATCAAGGTACGGATCCTCTCCCGGTCCAACAGAAATCATATGCATATGTATGCACCCAGGCCGAAGATCCTCAACCGACCCTACAGAAGTCAATTAAGTTCTTCGTCACTGCGTGTCGCATGCACATGGGCAAGAAACCTTTATGTCACCAAAGAAGGACTGTAATAGTGTACCAACCCCCCAACGGGAGAAAGGCCGAACATGTGCTGTGCTCGCTTCCAAGGTTAAGTGAGGTCTCGGTTTAACAGTGGGCTTGGGGGGTTACTTGTCATGACCAAATAAAAAAGGGAGAGGGGAAAGCAGAACCTATCCCCTAACCCTAACCCTAACCTAACTTGCCCGATTGTGTGCTTTATTCAACATGTTTACTGAATGGAAATACCCGCTAAGGCTGCTGCTGTTTCGTCGTCGACAGCAGTGCCACAAGTTCTTCGGTATCGTCGTCTCAAATGAACGTTAACGTTGCGCAAAGAGAAAATACACCCGACATTGCATAATCTATGTACTGCCGCACCATGCTATGAATATGGATCTACAGAAAGAGTTGGTGTTCTTGCGCAATCCAGACGTGTGTGCACGAAGCACCGCTGTCGTTGCCAGTTACAAACCGGCATCTAGGTACCCAATTATTTTTCCGCGTCGTGGACGCATCATCAACAAAACGCGTGTGTATTCCTTTCGATATAAATACAATAGGAGCTGGCTCAGATGTCACGGCAAGGCGCCATAAAACACAGGGGGCGGTGGAAAGTCTGTAATTGGTGGAAGTACCAGTTGTTACCGTCTGTTGAACGGGTCGGAGCAACAAAACAGGCTGCTGCGTTGGATCACATGATCATTTGAAAACAATGGACATGGACATTGTAGACGATCACAATCAGCCTTGATCCCACGAGTATCGTGGGTACCCGGTAATGTGCTGGGGCGTCTCTCTTCTGTCGAGAGGCGCCTCCCTGATTACAAACCAACGTGCCGCGGGGTGTGGATTGCATGTAGCATATGCGTACCAATGTAATCGGTGCGGATTTCAAAGCGGAGAACAGAGGGGGGGGGTGACGGACGGGAGCAAAAAAAAAGAAGACAGGACAGAAACAGGAAACGCTCCTTGGTGCCTGCTGGACGCCAATCGAGATCGGACCAAAGACAAGCTGTACGTTGTTTCCCCGCGAAAAGCTATCCGTATGGCGTGCGTTAGCAACAGATGGACGCTCGACGGCATCACCCCTCTATGTAGACAACTGGGCGGATGATGATGATGATCTTGGATGATATTGGGCGAAATCGCGAAGCACGAAGCCTCCCCGCACCCCGCCCTTTCAGCTATTCAAAAAACCAACACGCCTTATACCACGAATAAAAGAGCAGGCGCGCGCGCAGGAAGGATGTCACTCACAGGCACTGCCGAGCAGGGTTCCTCCCGGGGAGAACTTCACGGCCGCCACGGCTCGCCGGTGGTAGCCACAGATGATCTTGCGCTGGTAGTTGCATGGCGGTATCTTGGACGGCATGATGATTATGGCCCAAATTACGGCTTCGGAGGTCCGGTGTTGTCTTTCTCTCGCTCTCTTCCTTCCTCCTTCTCCTTCCTCCCGCCCAAGTCCTGCGGGATCCGTGCGCCTCACGTGCGTGCTACGGCTTCGTAGTCTCTGGCTAGTGTCCGCCCTACGGCTTGTGCTAACACGCGGACGGCGGTGGCTGATCCCCCATTTCCCTTGTTGGCGAGTTGGGGTGTTGGCTGACACAGCCCCGAAAAAACATCGAAGGCTTTTTGACGACGGACGTACGTGAAAGATCATGGCGTTGATGGAAGGGCGTGCGGGATATCACCAAGCACAACTATCGTCCCACACACCCAACCAACACAGCGACAGCAGCACTGATAGAGGGGCCAAGCAGAGCTAGCGCCTGGGCATCCGAAGACACCACACTAGCAGAATCCATGGAAGCTAACGGAGGTGAGATAAAGAGAGAGAGGGCGAGAAATGCATGCCGAGGAGAGGCAACAGCGCTCTCCTTCGTTCTCCAAGACAGCAGACTGCTGTGAGTGCTCGCATTTCGATTTGCATCTGCTGCATCTCGCTCGAGCTCTCTCCCTTCGACGGTGCCAAGGATCCCTACGCACTGCCGTCTTGCATGCGTGTGGCAAGGTGGTGAGCTGTGACCGGTAGGCAGGTCGATGGGGGGGGTGCCCGCCACACGCTCTCTTGCTCTTCGCTATGCGTGACCTTTGTGATCGGGGTAAAGCATCGAAAAGCGCCGCCTTGGTTGGTGAGTGATGTGACCGAAGCAACCGTGCCATACAGCGGTACATACATACATGTCAGCCGCAGAAGAGCACAGGCGGAAAAGGGCGTATCTACTGCTGTTGCTGCAGCAAGAGTACAATCAACAAATAACATTGGTGCTTACCATCAGCACGCAAGGGGAAAACCAACAGCGGAGAGGGTATTTACATTTGTGACCACAACCAACAACTTTTCAATATTTGCAATTTGAAACATTCTCGAGACACACACCGCGATAGGGACACGGGAACAATCGCATGCTCTCACACCAAGCTGACGGAGCACAGCTTGTTGATAGTGGCAGCGTCCGTTTTCGCAGTCTAGCACTGCTGCTGCCAATATCAATATCTTTCATACGCAGGTGTACTCATGCTGAAGTTTTTTCCATCTGACGATTTACAGTACAACACAAACAGCAGCACTGCTGTAGATCCTGCTGATCCGTTCGACCCAAGGCGTTCTAGATGAGCCCGCATTCCATGGCACGGCAACGGCAGATCGGCGCTTCACCTGGCACAGGAGATACTCTAGTGTTGTGGGCCTCACTCTTTTGTTCGAGAGAGGGTGATACGCGACTGCAACGTTGCTGGTAGTTGTTGTTATTTGTTGTACGGAGATTGCGTAGATCTTGCAGGTTCGGCGGGAGAATATCGTGACGTTTGGAAGTATACGACGAAAGTGTCTCCTTTTCGTTGCGCAACAGCAGTAGTGTTAGACTATAACACTACTGCTGTTGTGCCCCGCACCGGCGACCACAGACGTTCAACTTTCGGCAATGCGTGAGAAATCGACAAAAAACGACGAAGACGATGTCAAGCCTACCAAACTCTATTCTGAGAGTGATGGCCATTTCAGGCCTAGACACCTACGTAGTCCGCATTATCGGCCAAGCTCAAGCAGTGGGCGAAGGAGCGATCCTTAACAGCAACTCCAACGTGTTTGTTCATGAGATCATGCGTTTTGTTGGCCACAAGTGGCCGGTTTGGGCCTGCCTCGAAAAAAAAGCTGAACAGATTGGGAGAAAGGGAAAAAAAGGCCGTGGTCCACGCGTGGTTCAAAGCCTCGTTGTTGTTGGTTGAGTTTCAGTCTTGCGCACCCGTGCGCGAAAACTAGTGTCGTTCTTAATGCAGTCTGTGGGCATGCCTAAAGCAACACAAGGCCAGGTTGGGCCCCTGGACCCGCCTTCTTGATGGGCCACTTGCTTGAAAACCCGTCCCTTGGCCCAACCTCGACGCCAGCACTCCTTTTCCACAATGGGAGGATCGATGTCCCGATCAACTGCTGTTGTGTCAAGTGTTGACCAGGCAGTGTCCAAGTGGATTGCGACATCCACATGCACCGCCGTGTCCGCATCAGACTATCAGACTTTTTTGGCTTCTCCCGACGACAGATAACTGCAGGCCGTGATGGCACACCCCCCGCTGTCGATAACGTGCCGCTATTGCGGAGCCTCCCCCCACCGACGAAATTTTCAGTTCGAAAAATTTCCCTTTCCCTTATGGTTACCGGCTCTATTCTGGCATCTTTTCTTCCCCCTCATTCTCCTCTTCCCACTTGGTACAAACAAGATGTCGACAACCCTGTTCCGCAATAGCCTGGTACCCTCCCCCCGTGTTTTGTGCGGGACTGCCAAGGTTTGTGGTTGGAAGGTTATACCCGCCATCGACCATCGGTGATCGGTCCTGTGGGAACAATGCTCCGTACTCTCGAGGACGCGTGGTCAATGGTCTAACCGCTAAGGCATGCAAAACATAAGAGTACGCCCCCCCCCCCCCCCCCCCCCCCCCCCCCCCNGAGAGCGCATCATACGACTATGACCTCGCCGTCATTGGAGGGGGCTCCGGCGGGATGGCTGTGGCCAAGAAGGCCGCCTCGTACGGAAAAAAGGTGACACCATGAAGCCCCCCCTGTGCACAACTTTGCCCTTGTGTTTATTTTTGAGAACGCTTGTTTCTTTCCTCCCCCGGAAGCGTACCACCTGGAAAGTTAAGGGAAGTACCGTATATGACACAAGATAACACACCCCCTGGATCGATTTTCAAAGCTCGATTACTTCACGACGAATAGGATGCATAAACGAAACGATACATTTTCGAAAAGCCCTTGACACGAGACGGTTTCAACGCCGCCGTTTTCGGCGCTGTGACTGTTCCTGCAGTTGAGAAATCGAGCCTCGAAAATCGGTCAAGGGGGTGTGTTATCTTGTGTCATATACGGTGTAGGTATCCTCGGCCACGAAGCCGTTTTTTCTCGATTCCTTCCGGGTGACCTCTCCCGCTTTCCTTCTGACCTCTACCGCTTGCCTTGCCTATAGTTCCCTTCCCTCCCTTCCTCTGTACCGTTTTTTTCGTTTATCATGCGTTAACGCTCTCGCTCGCCCCCCCCCCTCTCTGTCCCGAATCTATGATGTCTTCCTTGTGGATGATGAATCCGACGCGGTGTGAATGTGAAACAAGGTTGTCTTGTTCGACTTCGTGAAACCGTCGCCCCAAGGAACTAAGTGGGGACTCGGGGGTACGTGCGTCAACGTGGGCTGCGTGCCCAAGAAGCTGATGCACTATGCCGGCCTTCTCGGTGAGGGACTTGACAGTATGTATGACAGTATGTAAAACAACGGCAGTGCGGGAATACGTCTCACGGTATTTAAGGGAGTTCCTTTCTCGTTTCAAGATCTTTTTGCCGGCCTGTGATCTTCTGGTTGATGGATGGATGGCACGCAGGGCCGGCGTCGTACTGCGTGGTTATCTCTCTACGGAAGTTTGATCAGCGCGCTCTCTACGTTGATGTCTGTGACAGCATGTTTTATGTTGTAGTCTGGTGTTGTTGGTCAATCGAAGAAAATCGCGGGCTCTTGAGGTTAACTTTCTCCTTTCTCACTCGCGCTGCGGTACACACGCTTGTCTTGGGGGCACGTTGGGGACTCCGTTGGCGTGATAACAGGGGCCGGCATGCACGATGCGAAAGCGTTCGGCTGGAAGGTTGGAAACCCTGAGCACGACTGGGAAGCGATGGTGGAGACCGTGCAGAACCATGTCAAGATGCTCAACTTCCGGTACCGCGTGGGGCTCAAGAGCGCACAGGTAGGTACATGAGAGCGCGTTTTTTTCCTGTTATATATTTTTTGTGCGGTTTGCCGCGTATTGGTTTTGTTTTTCGCCACCACTGCGTTTCGTTTGTAATATGGTTTGACCAATTGGCTAGGCAGAGCACCCATACGTCGGGCAAAAATTATGTCGGACCGGAAGAACAAAATAAAATCATCGAAGTTTTAGAGGGGTAGGGCCGGGTAAATGCCGTCCTCCCACCAATCACATGTCGACCATGTACATTATGTAGGACAGAGACAGAAGATTGGTTGATGGCCACGCCGCCGAGCGGGGATCCCCCCCAAAACGTAGCACAGCAGCAGCAGCACATAGCACACGTAGACAACACACGAGACAACCAGCACAGCAGCGCAAGAAACTGCTGTGGACCAAACGAAGCCAAAGGTACATATGCACCGGTCGCCCCGGTGGTCTAGTGGGTAGCCTCGCCGCCTGCTAAGGGCCAGGTCATGGGTTCGAGTCCCGACAGAGTGAGTTTTTTCTCGCTTACCAAATCCTGGTCTCTGTTGAAAGTGACGCGCTTCAAAGCTCGTTGTTAGTAAACTTGATCGACTTCATAAGTCGCGAGGGAAGGGATTGCTGTACCCTTCTCGCGATAAAAATACCTTTGGCAGAAACCGCAGGAAGGGGTCCAACCCCCCCCCTCCTATGTGACCCCGGTTGGGTCGTCTAGCTGGTAGAAGTGGAGGACAGGGGCCAGCAGGGCAGTCGACAGAGTCCAATAATGGGAGACAAAAATAAATACTTAGGGTTAGTAGTAGTATATATATAAATGGGAGGTCGGGTTCGACTGTCAGAGCCCGTTTGCTGCTGTCGGCAGCACCACAAGCAATGGAGGCGACACAGGTCAAATCTGCTGCTGCTGCCGCAGGCCGATCTTTTGAGCTTGCCACGACACAGCAGTGGTGCATCCCTAGCATCCCTTACCCTAGCAACCCTAACCCAGTGAGACGTGCAAACGGCAGCAGGCCAGGCCAAGGCGGCCAAGGGAACACATCATGCGAAGTATCGAGAGTGATTTTTGAAGCCCGTTACCTGCTGCTAGCGGCGTATAAGCGAGTGAAGCAGGTACACACAAGTAAATTAATCTGCGGCTATCTTCGCCGGTCTGTCTGCAGGCGGATCTTCTCGCCATCCACAAACGACCCGCCCGAAAACAGAGAGACGATGAGATGTACACACGCTGCCGGCCAAGGCGACCAGTCACACACATGAGGGCGTTGGGGGCGATTGTTAGAGCCCGTTGCCGCTGCTACGAGCGTACGCGAAGTAATTTAATTATTTTTTATTGGACCCCTATGTATGGGAGTGGAGCCATTGGCTACGTGGTGTTACTCTCGGTATTTGAGCCTGGTCTGTGCCTCTGTGCCTCTATGCCTTTGTCGAGGGGGTGACGCGGTTTCGGATGCGACGAGATATCAGGTGGTGTTCCATTCGCGACTAAGGTGCATTTGTGGCACCGGCGAGCCAGCTGCGTTCAATCCATTATGTTGTCAAGTGTGTGCTGGGCATTGGCCGACCGACGATGGGGTGTCATGTCACGTGCCCTTAAAACACGCGTGTGACATGTGTATGGACTAGCCGACTTGTGCTCTCTTGTTTATATCCGGACATGCGTTTTTTGAGCGTGACTCAGTCCTCGACTCAGTTGATGGCGATGGTGTTACAAACAAACCTACAAACCACGAGTTCATTCGCTGCCCTGGCTGCCTGCTATGGTGCCTTGTCTGTTTCCAGCCTGTGAGTCTAATGTCAAATGTGAGCTGCACTGCTGCGGTGTTGGTGCAACGCGTAGTAGCTTTGTCAGGTGCCTTTTCGACAGCGCCAGCGCCCGGGATAATCGGGATAATAATCACTGCAGCTGCAATCAGGACCGCAGGCCCCCTCGTCCGGCCCGCCGCTTGTCTCTTCCATCGAACTACCTCTGCGATGGCCACGGAATACGTGTGGACTGGCTTCACAGGTGAAGACAATTTGTCCTGTCGTGTCCTGTCCTATCCTGTCCTATGCACCTGTATCGCTTCCTCAGGTGACTTACGTGAACGGTCTGGCGAGGCTGACGGGTCCGCACGAAGTTACGTGTGAGAAGCGAGGGAAGGAGACCAAACACACCGCGGCGAGGTGAATATATTTCTTTCTCGTTTTGACGGTGCACCTCTCCTCAAGCGCACCACCACATTATTTGCCGCTACAGTAGCAGCAAGAGGCACATTATTGGCCGCTACAGCGGTAGTAAGAGGCGCAGGTACAGTGGTAGTGAGAGGCACAGGTACAGTGGTAGTGAGAGGCACAGGTACAGTGGTAGTGAGAGGCACAGGTACCGTAGGTTGTATACGTGGCACACATTTTTTGAGAGGTCAGTCAATCGCCCTGCAAGAAGAGTCCATGTGGTGGTGACGGTGCCGACGGTGGTAGATGGTACCATAGCGCCAACGGTAGCGTCGGAACCATCTCGTCGAGAGCTTTGCGAAAGGGCATCATTGGATTTTGCATCCTCTTGATGGTCGAGCAGTAGAGCTTGAAGGTAGGGCTACTCTAGGGTGGGTGGTAGTTTACGTTTGGAACCTTCACGGCAACCTACACGGCACGGCGGTGTACACCGCGGAAAATCTGATGAAATAATCCAAGTAGGCATGGACACTTGGGCGATGGTGCGGATCTCGCGTAACACGGTGGAGGGAACGAGATGCCTGCCAGCAAATATTTCATTAGACGAATTGGCTCACTCTTGATGATGACGCGGAGGCCAATCTGGCAATGCGTCCTTCCTTGTATTTAGTGTCAGGCTGTCATGCTTGGTCGTGTGCCACTCGGCCTCCTTCTTCACAGTCGGTGCAGCGGGCGTCACTGATGCCACTGATACACTTTTGGTTTCTCGCCGCGGGACTACTGACGTTATCTTGTTTTTGTTGTTATGTGTGTCCATTTTCTCCTCGTCGTTCCTGTCTCGATGTTTCTCGCGTGCTGACATGTACTGTACTGTAGGGTTATCATTGCCGTGGGCGGGAGGCCCGTAATTCCGGACGATGTGCCCGGAGCCCGTGAGCACGCCTTGACGTCGGACGACCTGTTCTCTCTAAGAACATCCCCGGGAAAGACCCTTGTCGTAGGAGCGAGCTACATCGCCCTGGAGTGTGCCGGTTTCATGCGGGAGCTTGGGCTTGATGTCACGGTGAGGGCGAGGGTCAGGGTTAGTCGTGCCCCTTGGTTTCCTATGGGGAGTATATTCCTCGCCGCGGCCGGGGGGAGGACTCGTTTTTTGCATGGCCGACCGGTTAGACAATTGACCGCGCGTCCTCGAGAAGACCGCGCGTTGTTCCCCCGGGCCCGATCACTGATGTCCTATCATCCTTTCTACGTTGCCAATGGTGACTCAAGAATAGTCGGAGGGGGTGGGGGAGGGTGTACTCATAGTTGTGCATGCCGTAGTCGTTAGACCATTGACCTCGCATCCCTACAAAGCCGGGACGGAGCACGCCGGGTTCTCACCGGACCAGGCTCTCACATCACCGAGCGCGAAGCGCCGTGAGGTATTCGGCGAGTCGCATNCACAACATGATCCACTCGACCACCATTATGGTTTACCGAAAATGGAGGTAAAAAAAAAAAAAACCCGGTAACCTGGTTGCCGAGTTCGCGAAGTGAATTGGCTTGTTTTATAACGTCGTTGCCAAGCGACGAAAACCCAACCCCGACGGCAATCACCGACGGGGGGGGCTCGGGGGGGGGTGGGGGGTCTCTTTATTTTTTGCTCGTCTTGTCTTGTCTTGTGGGAAGGCCCCCCTTGGTTGTCCAGTGCTGGTGGTGGAGGGTGATGGGGACGGTCCCTAGAGTTTTGCTCCAGCTTTTCCTCTTGCTGGTGCCGGCCGTTGATGCTTTCTTGGCACTCCTACCACCCGTGCCCCTGACGGACATGTACGTGACACTGCTCTGCTAAACGCTGCTTGTTTGCTGTCCCTCGGGTCTGTTTGAAGTACAGCACCCGGCATGTCTGTTGCTGAATGTGCAACGTGCAACATGCAATAACATGCAACAACATGTAACATTAACAAATGCAGGTGGCGGTGCGATCGATCCTGCTGAGAGGCTTCGACCAGCAGGTGGCGGAAAAGCTGGGTGACGTCATGAAAGATCTCGGGGTCAAGTTCGTGCGTCCCGCCGTTCCGTCTAAGATCGAGAAGGTGAGAGCGCCGCAGTTTGCTGTCCAAGACGCCCACTCCACCCTCCGCATGCTTCTGTCCCGCGATGTATCACAGATTTTGGGGTAAAAAGCGCTCGAATGCGAATGTTGTCATTGACCCCCATCGATCGTAGGATCTCGTGATGTATCCCGTCTCGCAAGTGATGGATGTCGGGAGTACGAAACGATGAGATGGCCAAGGGAAGCAGCGCAAACGAGGATGCCCCGCCCCCCCCTGTCCCCGGTGTACCCTCTTGATATTCGGATCGGGACATGCCTCCCCGTATGGGAAACACCAGACCAGCGACGGCAAGCTGGAGGTGACTCTGGTGGACAGCAAGAGCGGGGAGGAAGTGTCGAAGAGCACGTACGACAGCGTGTTGTATGCTACGGGCAGAAAGGCGGACACGAGTGGCATCGGCCTGGAAACCGCTGGGGTCAAGGTCAGTGGGCGGAAATAGTTTCGGGCAGACGGCGGCGGTGGGTGTGTGGCAAACGGCGAGGCGGCTCTCACAACGACTCTTGTAGGCCTCTTGATTATCCGCTGTACGTGCATACACTACCCCCCCCCCCAAAAAAAAAGGTTCGAACGGGGCAGCTGCCTTGCCGCAGATTCGAAAGCGTTGACTTTGAAGTACTTTCTATACTGCAGTATATTTCGTGCAGGAAAGATACCGAAATAAAGTCTGTTTGGCATGGGCTTGACGAGCACACGCGCCTTCGCTGACCCGTACCGAAAATGTTTGTTTCGTTTTTCAAATTATCCTTGGATATCTTGCACTGAAGCCGCTTGTACGTCCTGCATATTGGTTTGATTTGCGTCTCTGGTTCAGGTTAATCCGAACGGGAAGATTCCGGTAGAAAACGAGCAGACAAACGTGGAGCACATCTTTGCCATAGGGGACTGCACGAGCGTGGACGTGATGTTCCACGAATCCCACTGGGCCAACCCCGAGCTAACACCAGTGGCTGTGCAGGTGAGAGCTATGCTATTGTTGTTCTGATGAGTTTGAAGTCCATACTTTTGCCTACTGCCCGTCTATTCCTTTTCGTTATTTTTCCATTCCATTCCATTCCGTTCATGTAGTGATTCGGCACTACCGTTATCCGGGGAGCTCGTGTTCCGTTCTCGGCTTGCCTAATTTTTTGGAACGTTCCGCTATTAACAGGCGGGGGAGCTTTTGGCGAGTCGCCTGTACGCGAGGGCGACGGAGCAGATGGACTACTCCCTCGTCGCTACCGCCGTCTTCACACCGGTGAGAGTCTTCACACCGTTGTCGTTTTTCTTATTCTTGTACCCATCTAGGTCGTGCGTGACGTGACGCGACCTGACCTAGTCGTGTTGATCTTTTCGTCGTCGGCTGAGGTAGTGGTCCGCGGACGAACAGGCGGATAGCACCCTGTCTTACTTCATCTTGTCAAGTCGTCTTGATGAGCATGTGTTGAAGCATTTTTTCTCCGGATCTCACGCTTGTCTTACTGAAGACAACCAGCACACGAAAATATTAGTTCAATTGGCACAGCTGGCAGCAAACAACAAAGACAACAACCTCGTGTTGGCAGGTGGAGTATGGGTGCTGCGGGCTGAGCGAGGAGGATGCAATTCGCCTCTACGGGGAGGATGATATAGAGACCTACCTCTTCGGCTTCGGGACCCTGGAGCAGTCGGTGAGACTTGCAGGATTTCGCACTTGTGTTGAATCGTCGTCGAGGCATGTACGTTTATGACAATAGCATGTGGGCCATCAGTGGGAATTGCACGCTCTAGATGAGGGAGCGCTCTTTGTGCGCACGATGTCGCAGAAAATGCTAGGGGTGCAGACGCACCGGAAGAAGAGAGTGCAGGACGCCGAAGGAGATGCGTGAAATCGTGCACGTGTTGAGCACCGCGTAGCGCCAGGACATGGCAAGTGTAGGTGGGGTTGCATGAACCCGACGGGGCAGGCAGATGCAAAGCCTAGCCCTGGCTCTCTACCCAGATCATGAACACAGGGAGGGGTCCCCGCACCAGCAGCGGGGTGCTTCTGGCACAAGACAGAATGTCGATTCCTCTTGTTGGTGGTAAAGATACATGAAGCTACCAGAGGATACCCGATCCACCGGCCGTGTGGATTGGTATATGTGTCCTTTTTATACGTGTGGATTGGTATACGTGTCCTTTTTATTACGTGTGGGTTGGTATACGTGTCCTTTTCATACGTGTGGATTGGAATACGTGTCCTTTTCATTCGTGTGGATTGATATACGTGCAACGCCGATGTTTGTGTGGATGACTGCCGGGTGGACAGCGATATCGGCGCCGCAGTAGTGTCCTTCCATGAGACATGGGAACGGATCGCACCATCTTTTCTTATGATTCGGTCGCTGAGCGCAAGCAAAAAGTTGGAGTTTTTTCTCCCTTGGAGCATGGCAATTTTGTAGCACAGTCGGGTTCTATTCCGTTGGCACCGCCCTGCTCATGCCTGCTTCAATCGTGCTTTCAAGCTTTCGCAAAGTTGTCCGGGCAATATGAGCCTGTTGTCGCAGAACGGCATAGAAAATGCGTGGAATACAGTTCGGGCAGATATTTTCCTCTCTTCCGAGGCACACGGTGCGCCTCCCCCAGTCGGGAACATGCCTTCACGGTACATACGACCCACAAAAAAAAAGCGTTCAAGGCGCGCATTTGGGTCGCTTCCCACCTGATGGGAGAGGAAGGTCGACCACCCTGATGCTGCGATGTGTTGATTTCGAGACACGTATTGCTCGATGTACATGTGCCACCGCGGCCATCGTGTCTATCAAAAGATGGAGACCCCCGCCACGCACGAGTATGTTCGGGCAACGCCGATCCCCTCTCCTCTTTTGCCTCCGGTTGCGGACGAAATTTCCCCGACTGCCGCGTGCACCAGGCTGCCCACCGTGTGAAGCACGTCGAAGGGGAAGAAGAAGACGACATGCCGGCGACCAACCTGAGCAAGCTGGTTTGCCTCAAGAGCCAGGGCGAGAAGGTGTGGCCTTGGTGGTGTGGGCGCATCTCATCGGACGGTGGTGGTGTGGGCTGTTGCGGCCGCGGCCTGTGGGCAGTGGGCAGTGGGCAGTGGGCAGTGAAACACGGGGTGCAGTTTGCGTTGTGTTGTGCGTGTTGTCAGTGTCAGGGCGGTTTGGAGGCGTCATTGAGACGAATGTTTTGAGAGTTATTTAGGGTCATCACATGCCAGATGTGTGCACCTTGTTTGTTTGTACCGACGGCGCTTGCCGGCTGACCAATAAATGATATCAGTCCCAGTGCCATCGAAACTGGCAACAACTCCTGAAGGCCATCAACTGGTCCCTTGTGTGCATGTACTATGTGACGCGTGTTGCTGGAGCCTGTTGTTTTAATTCCCCCCTCTGGAATTCGTCGTGATTTTGCCCGCCTTGACGCGAAGTTGATGCAGTGATGCTTTCTCTACCCACAGGCCTGTCGGTGGTGGCTGCTGTGCTAAGCCAAACATGTGCAGCCGTGTTCCCCCCCCCCCCGCGTTTTCGATGCGTTGCCTGAAAGTGTTCCCTGTGGCGACGAGTGTTCATCCTTCAGGTTGGGCGGTGTCCCTTGTATTGCGGGGTCTCCGTTGTCGCTCTGGTACACCTGCGTTGTGTGTGAGGCAATCGGGCATATCGTGCCCATGTCGTTGTGGTTGCGGTGGCTAAGAGGTTGTAGGGGTCAACTTTGTTGGGCGGTGCATAGCGGTTGGAAGACCCCACCGTGAGCTCGTCAGCTACGAGACTCAAGACTCAACGTTTGATGCAACGTTCACGTGTTCTCACGTGTTCGTACGTGGCTTTGCTGTACAACTAGTCCTTTCACGTAATTCACCCTGACGCCCCTTTTTCCCACCTTACATGAGCTTTCGCCTCGTGTCTCTGTTTGTGTACGAAGGTGATCGGATTCCATTTTGTGGGGCCTAATGCTGGAGAAATCACGCAGGGCTTCGGCCTGGCCCTACGGCTGGGGGCCAAGAAGCTCGACTTTAACAAGCTCGTGAGTATGCATTCCCTACCTCATGCCTCATTTTCCGTCGTAACTTTGGTTTGTGCGCTGGGTATTGCTACAGCTGACACACCCTGCATCCGCACTTCGCTGCCGCTGTTGTTCTATCACGACCTGCGCGAGGCATGATCAAATCGTTGTTGTGAAGTGCATGGTTATGCGCCAGCCTGTGTTCCCGAACGCTTGGGAGATTGCTATTTACTTTTTTCTTTTTTCGGCGGATTCATGTCTGACCGACGTGGCTTGTACTCCTGATTGCACACGAATTCGCTCCGTCGTCCCCAACCCTTTGCCTGCTACCCCCGCCCACATCACGTCACACCGACCCCTTGGAAAACCCCAACAACAATTATAGGTTGGTATCCACCCGTCTGACGCCGAGAGCTTCTGCGCGATGGACATCACTCGTTCTTCTGGCGTCAGCTTTGTGGCAGAGGGCGGCTGCGGCGGGGGTGTTTGTGGATAAGGAGCCTCTAACGCTCGTCTATGTTTACCATGGGATTAGGCGCGGTGGGGAGGTGCTCGGAGCTTTGACGGGATCGCTGCTGGTGTTTCGTGCTTTTTGTGCCGCGTGTTTTTCTGTTCTCCTGTTTTGGCGCCAGCGAGCTTTTGTTCCGTCGCGTCGTTGCATCTGATGATGCTCCGAAGGACTTGTTTTTGGCTTCATTCGCTAATGCATCACAGCAGAATTGAGCAACAAGGCGGCCCTCGGCCTCGCTCCCGCTGTTTTGCGTGGCTGTGCTAGTGGGTGAAGTGCATTCTGAGAAAATTTATCCAGGGCCATGTTACTGTTTGTGGCACAGATTCGTGCTTTCCGTGAGGGAATGCTGCTGGCTGGCCTGAGGGATGCCCTTGGCATGATTTTGAGTGGCGAAATGCAAGGGCAATTGCTTCGGCAAAAGTTGCAAAGATCCGAAAGGCTTCGTCTACGCAAGTCTTGGCAAAGTTTGACGGTGGAGAAGTCGCTCGTTGGCGGGCGTGGTCTTGTCAGGAACAACTCGATCCGACCTGGGACAGGGTGGCGATTGTCAGTTCATGTTCTCAATGCATGTTGGTGTCCCTAATACTGCTGTACGCGTTGGCGATCGAATGGACGCTCGTGTGAACACAGCTTTTGGGGACTTCTCGTCCAGCCAACGAGCACAATGAGTCGATGTCAATGCCATTGAAGAAGACGTGCCAATGCAGGGGGGGTTGTCTTTCGACAGCTGGCAACGAGTTCTCGCAACCTGCCGTGGAGCAAAACTCGAGGGGAAAAAGTTCATTCGTGATAGGTGCTTCCGTCGGTTAGTTGAAAACGGAAAAATAACTTGGAAGCGTCGCACTTTGGGTTTTACACGCGATAAACAACCAAGCTCCCTCGTGATCGGTTACGATGTTCGCCATCATATGCCAAAACTTGATGGTGCTCTCCTCGTTTTGACATGTGCCGACCACACGCAGCCGGGTGAACACAGCAGTATTTTGATTGGTCCTCCGGTAAGGAAATTGCGTATTTTCGGATATATATCCCGACGATTTTTTTTAGCCGGTTGAAAAAACTGTTCCATGCGGGGTTAATCCAACCTACGATGGAGGCTCGAAACTCATTTCTCAAAGGGTCAGCTTTCGCAAAAAACAGGGAAATGAAGCTTCTGGTGGCAGCTTTTGCTAATTTCTGGTGGTACGAAAAACAAGACGAAAATGAAGATTTTTGAAAACGGGAGTTGTGGGCGTCTCACGGGGCGGGCGGCCGTATGTGACCTAAAAAAGAAGAGAGCTGAAATTTCGCGTTGGGTTTGAAATGGAACCTGACCCGTCGGGAAAATCTCATTTTCCCCACAAAGTGTTTTGAATTCATCCGCTCTCATTGATAGGCCCAAAAACGGGTAGCATACATTTTTACTTTTTTCATTTGCCATCGGCCAAGCATTTGTCGCGGGAATATCAGCGAAATGGTCAATATTCTACATGCGCGAGAGTAATAGTCTAGATTTCATTAGCGTTGTAGTGCGTCCGCCTGGATTGACGCTTTCGCGCAACCTTTTTGGACCACCGTGTAATTTTTTGGGGTATCGGTCCTCTTTTTGGAGAGCGTCCACAAATACTACAGCCGGGAAAGCCCCCAGTTTTGGTGACGAAGAGCGAAACGAGAGGTCCGCCGGAACGTTAGCAGCGTGCCTTGGCATAGGAGTCTATCTATTATCTATGCCCCAGTCAGTGCCACGCATCGGACACGTTGCAATCATTACGGATAAGGACGGTCGGTCGGTGTGATAATACACGAAGAGGGTAGTAATGGGCCATGGATGCGGCCACCTATTGCTGAAGGCGCTGTTGAAAAAGAGGGAAAATATGGCAAGGGTTGGCGCTCTACATCTTCTCTACAAAACAGTACACGAGGACCTCACGACGTTTGACCGAGTCCTCGACCGGTTTGGGTTGGAAGAATCCTTTGGTAGGTTTTCGATTTTCAGTGAACAACCCGACAGAAATGCTGTGAGACCTGACTTACAGGGGTGAAAAACAAATTGAAAAAGAGTAATCGGTCTACGTCGGGAGATCAGTCAGTTGTGATTTCCAAACGCTACTTTAACTAACGAAACACTTTGATGGGAGAAGCAGGCTATCCTGGGGGTGGCTTGCTCCACAAATCCATTTTGAACGGTTGGAGTATCCTGTAGCGTGCAATAAGAGAGACAAGCGGGGAGAGGAAATGCTTGTAGAATCAAGAGCGATTATCGTTGATACTCCAACAGATGGTGCGTGTATCTATAGACTATACATTTTTCAAGGAGTGATGCCGTGGGCGGTGGCTTGCTCCTAGAGATAGATGAAGGCTCTGTCCCTAACACGCTTGTCCACGACCACGTTGAGATGGGATAGTTGCTTGTTATTGCTGAGAGACGATCAGCAAAGGTCTGGGATGAAGTGGGGATCCAACCTCATCTCAGGGAGTACACAGAGTAGACAATTCTAAGGGGGTAGGGGTCAGACGGGTATACCTCCTGACCGACCCGCATCCTATCAAGAATAAGATATACCCTATTCATGCTAGCAGCCACACTCCTTAACACCAGCCCACCCTGAATATCATATATGCGGATTCTATACTCAATTCAATGCTCAAATCCTAGTCTAAAGCATAATTAAGACTTTAGCTGATGATTTATGATCATGAATCGAAGATACGACTCTTCACAAAACATTCAAAAGGAGGGTGAGTTGTGGCAATATCCCGAATCGATCCCCCACACCATCATTGAGATGAAGAATGCGAACGGTCACGAGACGGAACATCGACATCTCAATGACAACGCTTGAAGGGATAAAGCTACGAAGAATATGAGTTGCGGCACAGCACGCTATCATCCTGAACAGACGACGACAGGAAAAAAAATCAATATCCAGACGCCGCACACCACTCTATTACGCGCACCCGTGCGTATCACCGCTGGAGGAATGAGGGTGACTACCCGAGCGAGTCTAAAGCACGGTGACGAAACTCAAAACCCAAACAAATTTCCGAACGAATACGGCCTTTGATACTGGACGCGACGCAAAGGGAAAACTCAACGCAATCTAGGACGTTAACGAAGGGCAGGAGAAAAGAACGACAGGCAAAGGCACGGAGAACGATGGCCAGCGTGCCAGGGTACCCAACCCGTATAAGGAGACGGCAGGGGCAAGACCTATTGAGGACTAAGGATGCAAAGCACAAGCGATTATTGCAAGAGAGGCGATCGACGAACTGCGCCATGGTTCGCTGGCGATAGGCATCATTCAAAGACATAAAACACAAAGTCGTAGAGATTCACACAAGACGACGACTCAGGGGCGCTACTGTAATGAAGGCGTCGCCCGAAGGTGGCGATGATGGAGACGAAACAGAACGAAGTGTGGGTGACGACGAAAATCCATGGGAGAAGGCGACGCCACGGGATGGAATCCCGAAGCACCAAGCGTATGCGACACTTCTGCGGCACGATGGAACTAAAACAAATTAAAATTAAGACAACATTAGTTGGCAAACAGGCGAACCAGGAAAACGCGGAGAACTCGGTGTCCAAGTGTCCCGAGGCAAACATCACCGACGAAACTTCGGAGGGAGCTTGTTGAGAGAACCAACGACCAACAACAACAACATCAACAAAACATTGAAGCAAAGGCGAGTGAGAACGGACATCCAGGTCGCGGCAGATCACTGATTCAGATGAATGCAGGCAACAAGGAAGAAGGATCACTCGACACTGCGTGTCTTGAGGCGGCGTTGCCCCAGCGTTCAAAACAAAACAAGCCAAGGAAAGAAAGAGACGACAATGAAAAACAAAACAAAATAAAACAATACGGAAGGTGACAGAAAAAAAACAAACAATAGCAAAACGTCGGCGAGAAGGATGGCACAAAAGACCAAAATAGGCCGATTGGTGTATCAAAACGACGACGCTAAGAAGAAACGGCGGGAACAGCCGACGGTCAGGAGTCAGCAAGGAGCGGAGTGCGACCAAGGTTGTCGCCCAGAGGGCGCGAACGATGTTTCTCTAAACACCATGATCCACAGACGGCGTCCAAGGCAGTGGAGTAGAGATGCGCAGGCAGAGGCAGGACGCTTGGGCCTGGGTCATCCAAAAATCGAAAGATGTACCAGCCGCCCTGATGAGCACCAATGCGTCCGGTCCACCACATCCATCACGGGCCTTGTACCACAGTCGCGCGCCAACAGGGAGGGGCGAAGTGCTGAAACGGCGAAGCCAAGTCGCATTAAGCACAAGATCAGCCCCAGGAGGCAAATAGCGTTCTCCACGATTCCGGGCTAGCTCCCGCTGTGCCGCGCGAGTCCGCGCCACTCGATATGTACGGTTACCCTGCTTGCTTTGGCAGGCCTCCCGGGACAAGTACAAGAGGATGTGTCGACGGAATAGATCAAGGTCGGATTCCCGTTCCCATGAAGGAGTAGTCAGGCCTACCCAATGCGTCTGGTACAGGACGGCGAGAGCGCCGCTACGGCCCCGCACCAGTTGATGTCCCGAGATGTAGTCGACCTCGAGGCGCCCGACAGGCACCGACACATCATCCGCGGTGACGTGGAAAGGTGGACATTTATCTCCGAAAGAGTGCAGAACATAACGCGAAAGCTCGGCGGGCAGAGATTGCGGCAAGTCGTCCGTCTCGTACGGATTTCGACAGGGCTTGCAACGAAGGACAGACACGCGACAACGAGCTGCCGGGCCGGAAAGATCGGAAGGCAGGTCCAGGTAGAGGAGTTTACGCGCCAACGGGCGGCCGTCCGGAGTGGCGTCGGCAGAGGTGGGACCCACCGCAAGAACTTTGTAGGGCCCCGTCCAGGAAAGTGCGAATTTGGCCTTGAGCACCTGTTGGTCCGTGTCCTTCTGCACACCCTGTCGAATTGTAGCAGCCGTGTTGTACACCCAAGCCCACCCGCCAACGGTAAACTGAGGGAGCTTGTGAATGGCGTCCAGCAGGGATGAATTTCGGCGTTCGACTCGCGAAATCTTCAGCGCGTTGTACTCACGGACAAGTTCGTAGGCCCGGCGCTGGCGATCGACAGCCAGGTTGCAATACTCGAGTTGATCGCGGGCCAAGCTTTGATGACCACCTACCGTGGGACGATCGAAGACCGAAAGCGGGAATCGCGGGATGCGTCCGATGTGGATCTCGTTTGGCGCTAATCAAGTAGACTGGTTCACGGAATTGTTGTAGGCAAACTCAACGTGCGGGAGATGTATGTCCCAATCAAGCATCTGGGCCATCGTGTGGTTGACGCGTTCAGTGCCGCCGTTGGTCTGTGGGTGGTAGGAGCTGGTGGTGACCTTCTTGATTTTCACCACCTCGTAGGTCGCCATGGAGAGCTTCGAGCAGAAATGCAGTCCGTTGTCCGAAAATAACGTAGTCGGACATCCCCACTTGGTCATGTATTGGGTGACGAAGATGTGAGCCGTCCCTCTCGCCGTAAATTCCGCCGCTGTAACTGCGATCATGTCGGCTCTCCGACGGTCTGTGAACAACAAAATGTAGGAGTTGCCCTGGGCAGTCACTGGCAGAGGTCCGAAGAAGTCGACGCCGACGACCGCACCAGGCCCCTGCGGCAATGGTATAGCGATGACGGGCCACCGAGCAGTCTGACGTGAAGTCTTGCGAGCTTGACACACCAAACACGCCCGAAGCCACCAGCACACGGAACGATCCAAACCAATCCACCAGTAGAAGCGCTCGAGCAGACGCTGTGTACGATGGACGCCGAGATGGAATGACGCGGCGGTATGGCATGCATGAAGGACCCACGGACGCATCAGCATTGGCACGTAGACACGGGGCACGCCAGTATCCGGCAGACGAGTGGTCCTGCCGCCAGAGCGCCCAACCGGCGACGTCGCCGATTTATGTACGAGGAGGGTGATGTTGTCATCGGTCGTGTGCAGTCTGGTTTTCGCCGCCAACACAAGCACATCATCTAACCGAGGGGAACGAAGAGGAGCACAGAGAGTGAGCAAGCACGGAGGGGGTGGGGAGGGAGAATCGCAAGACAAAAAACGCATAGCCACCACACACTCGCTCTCCCGCTGCTGTTCCCTAGCCCAGTTCACAGTGCTGAAACTCTGAACACAAGCCCGCAAGTGGGAGGTGTCCAAATCAGAAGATTCCGAAAAAAAATCAGGCGATCCAACGGAAGAGGCGGAAGAAGGCGAAGCCTCAGCGACTGGGGCAGCCGCAGTCCGTGGTGATGTCCGCGAAGGGGACATCGTGAGTGGCGAAGTCCCGGGCGAAACCTGTAGAGAAGGCGAAGTCGGGGATGCAGGACGCGCCGCTGACGGCGAAGACACCGGTGGCGCAAGAGCAGTCGACGAAAACGCCGATGCCGGCGTTGCGGATGGCGGCAGCAGACGCGCGGCGGTCCGGGTGGTCTTGTTTGTCGAGCGGGACCTGCTAGAGCGACGGGCAGGCGACGATGTCCGAGGGACGATGGTAGCCCGCGGCTGGCGTCCGAAATAAGCGGGACCGGTGACGGTGCCTCCGGAAACAGCGGTAGTTTTGGCCCGAGTCCGTGAAGAAATGAGCGGTCCCTGCTCCGGAAGCGAAGACAAAACGTGCACATATCTAGTCGCCAAAGACGCGACAGGAGACATCACGCGGGACGCATCCGAAGTCAATGAGGAAGCAGGCCCTGAAGATGCGAGAACAGGCGAGACGATGAAGACCCCCGGGGACCGCTGAGAATTCTCGCAGGCAATCGTTGAGTCCGTCAGAGCATCCAACCGACGCGGGTGATGTCGGCGAAAAT